TGTTTTATTTATCGAACGATGTTCTGGGGAGCAGACACCAGCCAGGGGGAGGGAAGGGACTGGATAGGGAGAGGGCGAGGCGGGAAGGGATGGGATGGAAGTGAGGCGGGTGGGTAAGGTCAACGTTGAAGTGGGAGTACGGAAAGCGTTAGCTAGCATGGAACAAGATGAGGTCACAATAGGCACTTGGACCGGATTCAATAATAAAATGATGGTATAATAACTTACGAAATGCTATTTACTACAGGAAGTGCTTAGAATTGTGTATCTATTTGCGTGTCAACCCATTATTAGGTAATATGTTGCCGCCGTATTAATGCAATTTCAGACGCATGCGTCTGCAACACACATTTCACCGCATGCGACCTACCTGCGCCACATATTCAAGAAAACTCACCAGAATATAGAGAATAGATAAACCTTTAAGCCTTTGGTAGTAAATACCCCAGTTTTGTGTTCTTTTACATTTATTTTAATTATTGAAACGATATAGTGGCCTGTGGGTGTGGTGTGGAGGATGCACGCGGCTGAGCGCAGAGGTAGGTTTGTATTCTGCCTTACCGTGGGCACCCTAAAGTCATATTTACGAGAGGTGGCGCTTGCTAGACTGGTCATACGTTAATGCCTAGGGACGCCCGCGATTACAATTAACGTCAGCTTTGCATACAGGGTAGAAGTTACGGTGTCTATAGCTGCTTAGCAGCCTTGTTCCAACGCGCCTCGTTAGCCGTAAGCTCTGTGAATTTGTTGAATACTGCTTTAATTTGTTCCACACTCCTTGAAAGATGTGTACGTGTTTTTTTGAATGCAAGTTCAATGAAGTTGATCTTTTGTTGGTTATTTACGTCGGGCAGGTGATAATCAGGATTAGGATTTAGGATTTCGTCTGAGGCTCTTCTCTTGATCTCTAGCTATGCCTGCCGCTCAATAGTGTTTATTACCAGACGGACGTTCTTTCCTTCTCCGTTGCGACTAGCTACCACATGCTAAGTTGCTGCTGTGAATTTTAGTACTAACTAAGAGCTCGCGCAGACCAGACCCGAAAGAAAGAGAAGATTAACTTCGATAAATAAAACAAGTTCTAACGGCCTCTCGCGCTGGCGTGTATGATAAGTGCGATGTGTCATCGGCAGTTTTGCAGGTATGATATTAATGGGCTGTTGAGCCTATAGTAGGAGAAACAACTAAGAAAACGTTTAAGCTTATCTGACAATTCAGATGGGCGACGGTAGTGTGCAGAGTGGCCAGAACAGGTCGGTCATCAACAGTATGCGGCACAAAATCTATTCACGGTATATATTATATATAGGACATACAACATGCTGCTGCTGCTGCCTACAATAGATTATCCCCTGCTATTATGTTTACATGTTAGAATATATACATATTAGGCAAGGGAGCGTATATGGAAAATATAGAATTTGTAATACAAATATTGCTAATATGCAAGCAATTTGTAATAAGCAAATAATAGCAATTTGTCATTATACGCTCCTGATATACGGGCATTATCCCGCTGCGCCCCGCACCATGGGTTACCCCTGTAAGTGAAGCCTTCCACGTCGTCACGCTTAAACACCGCGCATATGTAGTAGCAATCGTAAACAGGAGTGTCATAATATTACTATATTATTAGACTATTATCTAGCCTAATTAAATATTAGAGTAGGTCTATATTTTGGATACACTCTTGAATCATATCACCTGATGCACAGCACAAACCTATGGCAATGGAGTTCCTTCAGCCCGCTGCTGCTGCCAGCGAGGGACTGATGATAGATGAATCGCATGCAACTATGGGCGCCGGATGGAACATGGCAGCAGCGGCGGCCGGCAGCCGCGAACCATGCAGGCGACGGATCAATGATATGCGCCATAGCGGGTGTCGGCGGTCCTAAGGAGGCGTCTGGGCTGGGCCGCGAGTGAGACAGAGAGTGAGAAGAGTGTGGCGAAGAGGAGGGAGAGGTATTAGAGAGGATAGGCGGGGAGAGAGCTCAGAAGAGAGAGGGAGGGAAGGGGCGAAAAGAGACAGGAGAGAGAGAGAGAGAGAGAGGAGCGAGAGCGAGAGCACGAGTGTTGGTAGCGATAGTTGTTGGTAGGGATCGGAGTGATAGTAGTTTATCTGTGGTGGCAGCGCGTGTGTCGTTGCAGTGGCGGTGCGTGGGTAAGTTGTCATGAAGTCCGGAAGAATGAGAGAGCTGAACTATGGTGCGAAATTTACACCCGCGGCGAACGATTGTATTGTGCTTTTATAGAGTGTTACGCTAACTCTATTATTCATGAGAGTTGGCCACCATGTAGTCGGCATAGGACTGTCCCGCGCGCCTTTTCTCTCGCCGTGACCCGTGTTGTAATATGTAAAGGTATGCTAGCGAGCACCGTTGAAAAACACTGTCCAATAATTCAATTGCAAGTGCTTGAATAAAGCTGAACGTGTTTAGAGAGGAGGTGTGATGAAAGGGTGGCACGAGAGAGTTAGGTGATGAAAAGAGAATGTGGGAGCCGAGAACAAAAGAAAAAGTGAACGAATCAATGAGATATAAGAAGAGATAACATACGGTATGGGCACGCGGGGAAAATTAGATGGCGCTGGTGGGTTGTCTCTGCCCACATCGTCTGGCATCGCATCTAGGTAGATATAGCTCTAGTTATAGCCGCAGGATCGCTGCCGCAGCCCTGCGCGCGCCGGCTGCGGCAGCCGATCCTGCGGGCTATAAGTAACTAGAGCTAGGGTAGATAGTGGGCACGCGCATCAAGGAGGGACCAACCCACCTGTTCTTAAGTAGGTTTCATTAATTATGGCCGAGTAAGGGTATATATATTGTTCTAATGCATATATAAATTATAGTTTGTATCTGGCTGTTACATGCTCACGGTACGCTCTGCGGCAGCAACCATTTCGTCTATTGTTAGTTAACTATTAATGAATCTATAGGTACCATCTACTAAATAAGTGACTGGGCATGGCAGGCAGTCCGTGGGGTGCGTGGGCTACCAGCCATGATGGGCATGCATGGTAGATGCCCATATCTGCTACCCAAGCAGGTGATGGGGCGTGGGCAGGCAGTCCGGGGGTGCGTGAGCTACTAGCGGAGATGTAAGCACCTCTATCATTGATTCATATGCACGCACGCGGTCATCGATATCGGTATTGTATGATTCCTCGGGGGTTGTTTATAACGGCGTTGCTTCTGTTACGGTGGCTGTCTTACATGGTTAGACGCAGTAATCGTTGCCCCCCTCCTCTCTCTCTCTCTCTCTCTCTCTCTCTCTCTCTTCTCTCTCTCTCTCATCTCTCTCTCTCTCCTCTCTCTTTCTCTCTCTCTCTCTCTCTCTCTCTCTCTCCTCTTGCTCGTGCTCTCTCTCTCTCTCCCTGCTCTCGATCATCTCTTCTCTCTCGTTCTTCCTCCTCTCGTCTCTCCGTCTCTCCCCTCCACTATCCGCGCCATTCTCTTTCTCCTTCTCCTCTCCCTTCTTCCCTCCTCTCTCCTCTCCTCCTCTTCTCTCTCTCCTTCG